TAGTTTGAAAATTTTTATCAAACTTAGAAACATTTCAGACATTATTTCTCCAAGTATTTTCCTCCTCTCTACTCCTTACACGTATGTTCAACCACTTGACATGTTTCCATGGTTCACAGGCTCTATCAATTTTTTTCAAAATTTTTTCCCTCCATGTGTCAGTTTGGAGAATTTCTATTGTTATATCTTCAAATGTAGTTGCTTTTGCTTCTACAGTGCTTACTCTCTTGTTAATTCTGTTCACTAAACTTTTCTTTTCAGATATTGTATATTTTTATCCCTAGTGTTTTTAGTTGTTCTCTTCTATATCTTCCACTTCTTTTTTCATTATGTTTGTTTATATTAGCTTATTTATGATAGCTCTTTTAATGTACTTGTTTGATTATTCCAAAATCTCTTTCATTTCTGAATTATTTTTATTGACTGGTTTTTTTTTTTCCCCAGCTATGGGTCCCATTTTCTTATACCTTTGTATGTCTAGTAATTTTTTAATTGGGTTCCAGGCATTGTTGTATTACCTTTTTGAATGAATGATTTTTTTCTCTTTAAAGAATATTGAGGTTTGTTTTGGCATGCTCCTAAGGGGAACTCAGGGTGAGCTCAATTTTTTGAAGGCTTAAATTTCACTAAGGCAGGTCTAGAGTAGCTTCTACTTTAGGTCTATTTTACCGCTACTACTAAGATATAACCCTTCCAAGGTCTCTACTGTTCTGAGTTCCCTTGTTCAGTGAAATCTATCCTCTCTGGCTGGATCTCTATTATCTCACAGCACTGTGTGACCTCTGGGGATTGTTCCACATGGATTCCCAGTGCTTCTTTGCGTACCCTCTAGGAATTTCACCCCAGACATTCACAGCTTAGTTTTAGCAGTAGACTCTAGGAGACCCCTATGTAGATTTCTAAAACTCTCTGAATAGTTCTTTCCTATCTAGTTCTCTGCCCCATAAATTTCAGCTGCTTCTGCCTCTCTGAACTCTGATCTCTGTCTGCTTAACTTGGCAAGACTATAATGCTGTGCTTGTGTTCCTTTCTCCATACCATTATTTGGAGAAGTGACTCCTGGCAGAAAGTCAGGCCAACCATGGGGCTCTCTATGTTTCCTGACTCTCCTTGATCATAGTCCTGCATTGCTTGTTGTCCAGTTATTTGGGTACAGCTGTTTCAAATATTTTGTCCAATTTTCTCATTTTTTATAGTAGGATGACATGTCTGGTGCATTACTCTATCATGACTAGAAGGCAAAGATGTTTCTTTAAAAAGATCACACTTAACAGCAGTGGTGACTTTAAGCATTTTTCCATAGGTACTT